AATAAATAAATAAATAAATAAATAAATAAATAAATAAACCCCGTAGTCCCACCATAGGCAGACGAGGGAAACCAAGATCAGACGTGGGGGACCTCAGAGGTTTGGAAATGGTACAGCAGTGTTTGACCCCATGTGGCCATGCTTAACCACCATGCCAGCACATTGTGCCAGGGTGCAGTCATCGGAGAGGGACTGCCTGGCCATGTGTGACCCTGGGCATACAGTGTACCTGTTCTGTGCCGTGGTTTCCCTATCCACAAAATAGGAGAGGGTAGTAAAGCCCCCTCCCCTGCAGGATTGCTGAGTGTTCTGTGAGCCAAGCTGTGAGCTGCACACTCCAGGGTCACTGTCACATGAAGCCTCCCATGGTGCTGCCAGGGATGGTGCAGACCGAGGCTGAGTCACTTGCTCCAGGCAACACATTTGGGATTGAAACCCAAAGGCCACACTTTCAACCACTCCGCCTTAGCTCAGTGTGACCCCCTTAATGCCACACTGAAAACCTGTCTCCCAGCTGCAGATGTCCCCCCAGGCTGCCTGACTCACCCCTTCTCCGGATGGGAGCCGGGACTCAGTGCTGTCTGACTCATTCGTTTCCGGCTGGTCCCCAGTCTTTGTGACTAACTGACCCCAGGTGGAAATGTCACTTGGATCTGTCTCTTTCTCACCGCCCTGGGGTTCCCTTCCAGCCCAGACCCCCAAGTCTAAGGACAATGGATATTATGTAACTGCTTCAAAGCATAGAACTGCAAAGGGGCTGGGTAAAAAGTGTTCCCTCACCCCTGACTAAGAAGCCAGAAGGGCAGCAGGAGGCCAGAGGCAGGAGGTCTCCTTGGAGATGGTGGGTGGCATTGCTTCTCCCACCTCAGGACAAGTGAGAGGCTGCAAAGCCTCAGACAGCACAGTGTGTGTCCACTGGCATCTGGAGAGCGGGCAAAAAGCCGGCTAGGGTGGTCCGAGATCAGCCTGCACTCTGGCAGGTGACTCTCCTAGGGTGGGTCGCTCATGTGACCCAAGACAGGTGTTGAAAGGAGGTTGTGAGCAGCCACACAGACAGATGAGGCTTTGCCCAGGTAGGGATACATGTAGGGATGCCTAGTGATGGGGTTGCTGCAGACCCTGCAGAAGCCCCCGTAATTAGAAGGAGCCAGGCACCCATGCCACCTGGGAACATCCATCCTCATGACCCGCTCAGTAGGACTGGAACCCCACTTCCTCTTCTCCCTCCTCTATGCTCCTCCCTCAGAGAATCCAGACTGCACCCACAGGTGATGGAGACTCGGTCAGCAGAACGGGGCAACAAGCCAACCCCCTGGGACAGTAAACCACTGCTCATCCAGGCTGATTCAACCTCCTAACTCCCATCTGATCCCCCTGCCGCCCCTGGGATCCCACCTCCCCTGCTCTAGACTGCCCACACCGAACAGTATGTCCCAGCCACAGGAGCTGGAGTGTCTGGGTTTCAGCTCCAACCTGAAGCGAGCTGCTAACTTCTCTGTGTTTCAGTATCATTATCAGCAACATGGAGATGTGACACTGACACCCTTCCTTGTTCCACCAGGGTTTTGTGAAGCGGAAGTGCAGAATCATCTCAGCAGGGGCATTCTGCATTGTCATGCACTTCCTCCTCACTGTACAATCTTGAGAAGATCCCTTTCCCTACCCTCTTCACACTTTCTATAGCTGCAAGATAAATCACATGTGGGTACAATTTCCCAATGGCTACAGCTATTGCTGATGGCTGACAAACATCAGAGAGGAGAAAGACTCACCTTGGCCCATCTTGGCCCACCCTGGGGTCCGGCTGGCAAGCTCAGGGGACAGGATCAGGGAGGGGCCTGGCTTTCAGGGCCTCCCAGCCCCTTGGACCCATGCACCATCCCTTCTTCAGCCTGAGAGTGTCCCCAACCTCCCTCTACGTCTCGGGCTCACTTAGCTACTCTGAGTAGACCAGGGAACAGATGGCATTTGAGGAGTCTCTGCCAGGCCACCAGGCAAGGTCCCAGGGCCCCTACTTTGCTGTTGGCAGCTCAGGGTGTGCATTCCCACTTTAAAGACTAGGAAACTCTAAGGGCAGCATCTGAAGAATCCTAGGGCCATCAGAACAGTCTTTTTAAGGGAACTGGAGATAGTGCCAACAGTCACTGGATTCCATGGTGCATGCAGTGGATAGATACATCCTGGGCACTCCCTGGGTGCCAGTGACCCACATGTGAGAAACGAGAAACTTCATGTGGTGGCCACATGAAGTCCAGGGACTCACTGGGGAAATGCAAGCTTTGGGTCAATGCAGGAGAACCTGGCACGGGAGCCCTGGATGGGAGGAAGAGGGGCTGCGGTGGCAGATGGGGTTCCGGGAGGGGCTTGAGGGAGGGTCCGAGAGAAGGGCTGCTTCTCAGAGGATCCTGGGCTGCTTTCTCATCAGGCAGGGTCTGATTAGCTCTTTGATGGAGACAGTGAGAATGGGAGATATGAAGTCTGTCCACTTCTGGGTTTAAATGCCAGCTATGCAGCCCCTGGCCCCTGGGATTCTGGGCTGAGAATTAACCTTTCTGAGCTTCAGTATTTTCGTCTGTGAAATGGAGACAATTGTAAGGGTCGGCACAGATGAGACCTGGTGGAGTAAGAATCCAGAGGCAGAGAGCCCAGCTCTGGGGCCATCAGATGCCCGGGAGTCAGCAAGGACCCCCAGACCCTCAGTCTGACTTCTGGCCCTTCCTGGCCTGTCTTCCCTGGGCCTGGACCCAGGCGCATGTCTCTAGCCAACTCCTGCAAGGAGGACATTCGTTTCCTCCTGGTTCTTGGCCCCTCCTGAGTGTGTGCGGAAACAGATGCCCTCGCTTCCTGCCCAAGCCTGAGAGCTGGGTTGGCTTCTTCTGCTGCTTGCAGGGAGGCACAGATTCTGGGTGGGAATCTCTGGGCTTCCCTGGGAAAGAGAGCTCTCCTCCCTGGCTTCCGCCCTCCTCCCAGCATCCACTACGAATCTCCAAAACACTTCTGGGCCCTCGAGAGCCCTATTCCCTCTTGGGAGGCCCCAGACTGGAGTGTGTTGATTGAATACAGCCTTAGTCTAAATGACTGAGCCTTAGTCTAAATGATTCCCCAACCCTGTTCACAAAGCAGGCAGGAGGGGAGCCAAGAAGGGGTAGCTCTATGGAGTCAGGCATTATAGCCACTTGGGGAATTAAAGGCAAAGAAGAAAAGAAAGAAATTAACATTTACTGAGCATCTGATTTAGTGGAATAAATTAGGAAGAGAGTAGCACATATTAGGCACCTACTAAGTGCCAGGCACTGGGCTCTGTCCCAAGAATACAAAGCAGCAGGGGAAAGTGGCCCCACGCTTGTGTCCCTGGGGAGTCTACACACAACCTCTCACATGGACATATTCAATTCTCAGCGGATCGATCCAGGTGGGCACCTGTGCCTCCACCTTACAGATGAGGAGACCGAGGCAGTTCTGGGCCACACACCAGACCTAGTGGAGTCTGAACCGTGATCTTTGGGATGGAGGGGTCCAGGGTGGATACAGGTGGCTCTCTCTCCCCAGCCCCCACTTTTCCACCTTCTGGGGAAAGAAGTCCATTTGCTCACAGCTGCCCTTCATTCACTGGGAGTCTGAGCATCCCAAAGTACTGCAGTCTCAGAGAGGAGAGGAGGGGAGGGTGTCTCTGCAGCCAGTCTGGGGGAGAGGAGGTGGGAGGCGCTGTAATGCGGACAGCTCCAGGGGCCAAGGGAACAGAAAGGCGTGTGTGGCCAGCATCTGTTCCACACCAGCCCTGAAGGATGTGGCCAAAGGACAGGCTTTCAGGGATCATGAGGGTGACCCACAGTCAGGTTTGGCAAGGACGGAAGGTTTCCTGGGATGTAGGACTCTGCCCCAAACTGGGAAAATCCCCGGCCAACTGGCATGACCATGAGCATTAGCACAGACTGCCATTGACCTCATGAACATCCAACCTGCCGTCTTCAGAAATTACCTGGTTACATTTTCTTGCCCAATTCCACTTCCTCTCAACTCCTTTTAAAAAATTAATCTCAGCTCCATAGACATTCATTGAGAAGCAGTGCTGCACTAGGCTCTGGGAAATGAAAGAATATTATTCCCTGGTTCTCATCAAGGGGAGTGACTAAGGGCAAGTTAGAGGGAGGTTAGCAGAGGAGGTGGATTCCTCTCCCACCCTGCAGCCAGGGACAGAGCCTGGGGCCGTGGCTTGGCTCACTTCCCTCCCTTGTGCACTGGCAGAGAGCTCTTGGGGCCACCGATCCCTGACTCTTGAACACACCAAGCACATTGTGTTGCCTCAGGGCCTTTGCACTATCTGTTCTCTCAGCTTAGAACACACATCTCCCTGATTTCTGCATGGTTTCTCAGGTCATTCGGGTCTCAGCTCAAATGCAGGCCTTTTCTGATGACCTTGTAAATCTCCCAACCCCGGCCGCCCTCAGCCCTGCCCCATATTGATAGAGTCCTATAACTTTCTTTAATGTGACTTTAAAATTGTGCTTTATGGTTCTCACTACTATCGTAAATTGACTTGTTTATTTAATTATTCATTTGTTTACCACCTGCCTTCCATTAGAATATAAACTCTGAGCTTGCCTTGTCCCTAGCTCAGTGTCTGGTACTGTGCCTGACACAAAAATCGTCTAAAACCATTTTTAAATGAATGGCTATATTTGTTATTTACAGGAAAATGCTCTCACTCTAAAAATGGAATGAAGTGAAGAACAAAAACCCCAGGAGACATAAGACTTGAGATGGAAAATGTGAGGATGTCCCCATCCTGTGGAAAGTCCCCTGAGAAAACTCTTCTATGATCCCCTGACATAGTCTATGTTAGGATTAAACAGGGTCCATGCTAGAGCCCAGGAGAGGAGGGTTCGAGGACCTCTGTGTCCCCCATTCCCTGTTCTATACCCTGGAAGCACTGTCTGAGGGGAATTAGTCCCCAAAGCTTTCTCCAAGACCCTACCTGGGGCTTCACGATGAATGCTGGGGATAAGCAGACCGAAGGGAAAATGAGAAACAGCATTGCAGAGGGGACACGTGCTGGGGTTTTGCAGTCATTTGCACAGTCTGGGCTCACTGCAGGCAGTGAGGGATCGGAGATGAGCCTGGAAGGATGAATGGCATTCAGATGACGCCCTGAGAAGCCGACATGATAAGACCAGAAGTTTATTGTGGCTTTCCACATCTTCCTCTTATTCCTCACTCTCCAGATCAGGAAACTGAGGCACAGAGAGGGTGTCAGGACCCCTGAAAGGCTCAAGATCTGCCCTACTTGCAAATTAACAAGGGAGCCTTCCTGGGCTTCATGGGTACTGACAGGAGGCTCAGGACTCCTGCTCAGAGACAAAGGACTTTATTATTTACGCACCACAGGCAGTGTGAACTTCAGGCCTGCGACAGTTTCCCACGCCCTGGGCGCAGCTCAGGTGACCATGAGGGAACAAACTCTTGGTCCGGGCCGGGCCAGGCCGGCGGAGAGGAAATCAGAAAATCACCGTCTCTGTCTTCCAAAGCTGCTCACCATACAGAAAAGACGTCCTGAATGAGGGGTGGGGCCGCTTGTCACTCATAGGGAGGGGAGTGACAAGTTCATATCACAGATTTAAAAGTTGGGCCAGGGGATAAATAGACCAATTGGCACAAGATTTGACTCCAGCCCCTGGACTCCTTTATCCATCTGTCCCCAAACTCATGTAAAGCTGACCCATTTGATGCCCAGGTGACAGTGGCTCCTCTGTTCCTGGCAGCAGCTCCCTCTCATGGCCTCTCCAAGTGACAGGCAGGTGGCCAGTTTCTCTTGGGGATGTTACTGTGTGTTTCTGCCTTCACAGGACACATGAGTTGTACCAGGAGTCCCAGTGCTTCATCCAGGACATCAGGGCCCATGTCTTTGTCCCTGAGACACTTCCTCCCAGCTGTGCTGCCTGGGCTGGGTTTTCAGGTCACGGCCTCAGTGAGTCCTAACTCCAATCCACCAGCTATGTTATAGCTCAGAACTGGATGAAAACCCCCAACTCCAGAGATGGGGTGAGCAGGGTTGACAGTGTCCCCATGGGCATGGAGCACATGCCTGGGGACCACTGGACAGGGTCCCAGTGGCCAGACAGGGTCCCCCGGGGCTGTTGCCTTGTCAAAAATGTTCTGGTGTTCCTAAGACCACCACCAACACTATGCAAAGACTACTCAAGACCACCATGATAGCCGTGGTGGTCCGAAGACTCCGCCTGGCGCTTCCCCTGCAAGTCAGGAATGCAGGCGTGGAAGAAGGGGCCTGGGCTTGCAATTCTCACAAGTGCAGGCCACAGCAGGACATGCACATCCCTCCCCAGGTACCCTTGCAGCCCTGGGAATCCATGCTGGTCAGGGACAGCCACGTGGGACAGTGGAATTGGCATGGGACTACAAAGGGCAGTAGGATTTTTTCTGAAGTTTTGAATTACAAAATTAATTTTCAACAAACTATATAAAGACAGTTTTGACAGGATAAAGTAAAAAACTTCTCTACATATCCCTCCCTTCCTGCCCTCCCCTCTTCTGGTTTGTCCCCTCCTTACCTGGTCCTCTTCCCCACCAGGGTTCTTCCTACCTGTTATCTTCACCCAGAGGACACGGGGGTGGCAGGGTCTTCTCCAGGACCTCTGATGCTTACATGCCCCAAGGATTCAGAGGAGAGGGTTTCTACTACTCCCTGGAATCGCAGAAAGGTATTTTGGATGGAGGAGAGGAGTGAACTCTAGCTCCGTTGAGAAGGTGGAGGTGGCCAGAAAGTAACTGAGTTAAGGTCAAACACCCCCTCCCCAACACTGGCCTCCTGGCTCCACTCCACACGCCCCCCCCCCCCAGCTCCATCTGGGAGCCCCGACCCAGCTAGAAGTGCCCGGGCGCAAACGCTGCTCCCACGCATACCAGCTGCGTGACCTAGGGCAGCGACTTGACCTCAGGGGGCCTCGGTTTCCTCATTTGCATTGTGAGCCTGTCAGGCCAGGCTTTATTGCAGCACGCTCAGCACAGAGCCGCACGCGCACGCGAGGAAAAGGCTCCCCGCGAGGGAGCTGTTGGCATCCCCTTCACCCGGAGGAAGGAGACCAGAGGACTGGAGGGGAGCGGTGGGGTCGCCCAGGAGTCGGCGGTAGAGCGTCCTCGCTGCAACTCCGGCGGCGCCGCACCTGGGCGCCCGGCGCTGAACGGGTGCGGGGCTGGGCCAGGGCCGGCCCGGGGGAGCGAGTGGGGCGGGGCCGCCGCGCCCGCCGCCTTCTCCTCCCGCCGCGCGTCGCGCTCAGAGCGGCGGCAGCAGCGGCCGCGGAGACAGCTCCGGCTCGCCTCCCGTTCCGGGTCCCAAGCTCCCGGGCCCCGAGCCCCGACCCCGCCGCCGCGCCAGCCGGGGCCTCGAGCGCCCCGCCTCCCGCCTCACGCTGAAGTTCCTGGCCGTGCTGCTGGCCGCGGGCATGCTGGCGTTCCTCGGTGCCGTCATCTGCATCATCGCCAGCGTGCCCCTGGCGGCCAGCCCGGCACGGGCGCTGCCCGGCGGCGGCGACAACGTCTCTGCCGCCTCGGGCGCCGCCGCGTCCCCGGGCCCGCAGCGCAGCCTGAGCGCGCTGCACGGCTTGGGCGGCTCGTCCGGGCCCTCCGCGCTGCCCGGAGCGCCAGCCTCCAGCGCGTACCCGCTGCCCCCCGGGCCGCTCTTCAGCCGCTTCCTGTGCACGCCTCTGGCGGCCGCCTGCCCGTCGGGGACCGAGCAGGGCGACGCGGCGGCGGCGGGCGAGCGCGAGGAGCTACTGCTGCTGCAGAGCACGGCAGAGCAGCTGCGCCAGACGGCGCTGCAGCAGGAGGCGCGCATCCGCGCCGACCAGGACACCATCCGCGAGCTCACGGGCAAGCTGGGCCGCTGCGAGAGCGGCCTCCCGCGCGGCCTCCAGGACGCCGGGCCCCGCCGCGACACCATGGCCGACGGCGCCTGGGACTCTCCCGCGCTCGTGCTGGAGCTGGAGGACGCTGTGCGCGCCTTGCGGGACCGCATCGACCGCATCGAGGTGAGCGCCGCGCTCCGCGCCGTCGGGTGCCCCGCGGTCACCTCCGGTCCGCGCGTGGCCGTGGCCGGGAGGGCGGGTCGGTAGGGTGCCAGGCTGGGACGCAGGCCAGCGTCGTCTGTCATCGTGACCGAGGCACCTGGGGCGCGCTGGGCGGGTTGATGTTGAGCCCCTTTCCTCTCCAAGCACTGGTCCCACGATTAGTTTCTACAGCTGTAAAATGGGTCCAACCACATCCACTCCTGGTGGAAATCGATTGAAACAAGTGTGTGGAAATGCTTGGCACATACTAGGATCTCATTAAAGATCCATATCGGTTCCTTCTGGAGCCCCCAAAACTGCACCAGACCACACTCCATGGTCAAGAGATACGATTACCTGTCCTAGGGACTCTGGGTCTTCCTCTCAAACCGAAGAGAGGGGAAGGGGGCTCCATAATACAAAACGGGGTGCGCCTCACCACCTCCCACCCTTGAATGAATGGGCTCAGACTACTGGCCCCTCCTCAGGAGCTCAGTTCGCACCCAGCCTCTGACCCCTAAAGGGAGGCTCCTGGGGTGGGGTGGGGAGGAACAGGGCCTCACCCCACTCCTCCTCCATTGCCTTTTCCAGACTTTCCTGGCTCAGGCTGGTGGTGGCAGGGGGTGCCCCTCTTGGTATGGGTGATCCTGGGTCAGACATTTCTCCTTTGGCATCTGGCAGCCAGCTTCCTCCCTGTAGGAACACACCCGAGGTGCCCAGAGGTTCGGGTCAGACAATCACACTGGGTGCTAGGAACAGCTGTGGACACCTGCCAGGGGCCGACTTCCAGACCTCGAGGAAGAGCACTGTGGAAGAAGAGGATGGAAAGGCCAAAGTGCTAGCTCCCCTGCTACCTGCCCCCGGCCTGAGTGTGGCAGGGCAAGCCAGAGGAAGGAAATGCAGGGGACTCCCACCCCAGCTTAAACCCTTGGGCAGCAGAACAGACAGTGTCCACGTGGAAGAGTGGGGAGAGGAGGCGGAGGTCTGGGAGTTCAGGGTTGGGTGTCTTAGAGCTAAGAACAGGAAAGACGGCCAGGGGAAAGCTTGAAGTCCAAAGTGAATTGAGTCTCAGTTTCCTCATCTGTAAAGTGGGCATAAGAGCAGTAAGGACTTCACTGGGGCACCAGAGGAAGAGGGAGTTGATTTATGTAAAAGGCCAGAACAGTGCCTGGCGCAGAGGTCTGCTCCATCAATTCGAGTGACTGCTATTTTTAACAATATGCTATAATGTTATTCATTTCTAAAATACAACCAAAAATAAAAACAGGAACAAACTCTCTTTTTAGGGAGCAGATTTTATTAATATAAAAATAATTTGATATCCAGTCAACCTCTTCTTGCCTGCCGTGGCCCTGCCCCCACACCCGGATGGCACAGGTGGCTTCTCCCACGTCTGGGGCTGGCACAGCCAGGCTGGCCCTGGACCTGTTCCCTGGCACCTGTGGCACTTGGCAGGGTGGGCTCCCCTCCTGGGAGCCTGCTGAGGCTGGGGGGATCCTGGGATTTGGCAGCAGGTCAACCTTCCAGACAGGGGGGAGCCCGGCTTCCCCACACGCACCTTCTTATGCTTTCAGTGTGCATCAGGCATGAAGAAAGAAAGGCAGGGTTCTGCCTGGCCACCAGGTCCCCTTCCCAGCCTGGCTGTCCCTTGGGGGTATGTGGCCGGGTCTGGAGCCAGCAGGTGCAGGGTCAGACTCTGGGTCTCTGCTGAGTCCCCTTTAGCCGCTTTTCATTTCTCCCCTCTGTTCTTTCCTGTAACCCTCAAAAGCCTCCAGATTTTCAGGGTCTGCCCTCTCTGCCACCACTGCCCTAAAAGCGCTCTTGCTCGTGTCCCCAGACTTGATGAACTGAATGAGGACTTCTCAGTCCTTCTCTTGCCGAGTCTCCTCTGCCCTCAGACCGTCCTCATTCTCGAAGACCTCATGCCCTTAGCTCCTCCCCGTCTCCCTCTGCCCTTCCTCCTGCTCTTACTTCTGGTTCCCAGGTGCCCCTCTCCTTTTCCCTGGGTGATCTCAGCTGCACCCTGAGCTTCCAGCACCCACTCCGAAGTGGGCCTTGACCAAAGCTGTTTCTAGACCCACAGACCCCGCTGCCTACTGAGCACCTGCCTCTGGCCATCCCCAGTCCCTAACCACACGCTGTTCCACTCCAGCTGAACTCAGGGTCCCTGCCAAGCTGCTTCTCAGGGTGCTCTGTGGGGCTGTGCTTGGGACCTCCTGCCTCCTGGCTCAGGTCAGCTGGCCTCTACTGGTTTCCCACCTCCCGCACATCTTATCTTCCTCGCCCTCCCCCTCCCCCTCCCCCTCTCCTCCCAAACCAACAACCTCACCCTAATACTTACAGTCTCACTCATACTGATCTCAGTTTTAGCACTAGGGCTCTTCTACGAATGATCTCAAAAA